TCCATTACTTTGTCTTGACTTTTTACTTCTCATTTTCTTTTGTTTTCTGCCATTTTCAATGTTTTTAATTAAGTTTTATAATGAGTTTATTCTCATTTGGGTACCCGGTAACTTATTTTTCATTTTTGGATAATATGCTTTTTTTTTCATTTATTTGTTTCAGTGGACTTTTTTGTTTTTGTTTTTGTTTTTGTTTGAGACAGGATATCACTCTGCAACCCAGGCTGGAGTGCACTGGCATAATCAGGACTCATTGAAGCCTTAATGTTCAGGGCCTCAAGTGATCCTCCCACCTCAGCCTCCCAAGTAGCTGGGACTGCAGGCATGGACCACCATGCCAGGCTAATTTTTTTTTTTTCTTTTTTTAGTAGAGATGAGGTCTCGCTATGTTGCCCAGGCTGGTCTTGAGCCCCTGGGCTCAAGGGATCCTCCCACCTTGGCCTCCCAAAGTGTTGGGATTACAGGTGCAAGCCACCACACCTGGCCAATTTTCTTGGTGTCTTCTTCCATCCCTCCCTCCTCCTCTCCTGTCCATTTCTATTTTTCATTTTTGTCTTTTTCTTTTTTTCTTCTTTTTCTTTTTCTTTTTTTTTTTTGAGACAGAGTCTCACTCTGTCACCCAGGCTGGAGTGCAATGATGCGGCCTCAGTTCACTGCAACCTCTGCCTCCTGGGTTCAAGCAATTCCCCTGCCTCAGCCTCCCAAGGAGCTGGGATTACAGACATGTGCCATCACGCCAGGCTAATTTTTATATTTTTGGTAGAGATGGGGTTTCACCATGTTGGCCAGGCTAGTCTTGAACTCCTGACCTCAGGTGATCTGCCTCAGCCTCCGAAAGTGCTGGAATTACAGGCATGAACCACCATGCCTGGCCTCATTTTGTCTTTCTAATTCAGAGTGGGTTTCAATATACCCAGTTGCTTATTCCAATATATCTAATTCTGCCTGGTGTGTTGTTGTACAGTTTTCTTTGACATCATGATTGTTTTGGGGGAAGATAATTTTCCTTAATTGATGTGTGTAGTTTTCATTTTCTGTTACTTTGACGTAACTTCGTATGAAACTGTTCATCTTTTTCTTGTTTATTTTTGTGGTATTGGCTATGTTTTGTGAGATCCTAGTTCAGCAGGGTCCTCAGTAGAGCAAAGTCTAGGCACTTGTTACTGTATGAATAGACATATAGATGAATGGAACAGAATGACAAATCCAGAAATAAACACTTAACACCTATAGTCAGTTGATTTTTGATGAAGGAACAAAGGCAATTCTGTGGGTAAAATGAGTTTTTTTTCTCTCAAAAAAAGTACTGGGGAAATGTGTATTTCTATGTTCTAAATAATGAACTTAGACCCTTATTCACATCCTACATAAAAATTAACTCGAAATGGACTTAAATTTAAGAGCAGAAGCTATAAAACTTCTAGAAGAAAACATGAGAAAATATCCATCCACATTCTCAGATTAGAAAGAAATTTAAGTACAACACATAAAAGACAATCAAAACAAGAAAAAATTGCTCTCCTGGGCTTCACCAACATTTGGAAACGTTTGCACTTCAAAAGACACTACTGGAAAATGAAAAGGCAAGCCACAGACAGGGAGAAAATACTTGCATATCAGGTATTTAATAAGGAACCTGTATTCAGAATCTATAAAAGTATCTTACAATTCAATAACAAGACAACTCAACTAAAGAATGGACAACAAATTTGAATAGTTATAACAATAAAGAATGCTAATGAGCAAATAAGAAATGTTCAACATCATTAGTGGTTATGGAAATGCAAATTAAAGCTACAATTAGATATCATTCTTCACCCACCAGAATAATTATAATAAAAAAAGATCAACAATATTAAATGTTGGTGAGGATACTGAGAAACTGGAATCCTTATATATTGCTGGTGAGTATGTAAAATGTTACAGGCATTTTGGAAAATAATTTGGCAGTTTCTTAAAACTAGCAAATTAAATACAAACTTAGAATAAGACCCAGCAATTCAATTCCTAGATATCTGCCCAAGGGAAATGAAAATATGTGTCCACTTAGAAACTTCAATGTGAATGTTTACAGCAACATTATTCATAATAGCCCCAAAATGGAAATAACCCAGATATCCATCAGCTGGTGAGTGGATAAGCAAAATGTGGCACATCCATGTAATAGAATACTATTCAGCAATTAAGAAGGAATAAACTATATATTACAACATGAGCCTCAGTAACATAATGCTAAGTGAAAGATGCCAGATACAAAAGACAATGTATTGTATGACTTCATTTATATGAAATATCCAGATTATATGATTTCATTTATACAAAATTTCTCTAGAGACAGAAAGCAGAGCAATGTTTGCCTCAGGCTGGGTTAGGAGAATGGAAATTAAGTATAACGGAACTATTTGGGGGTGATGGAAATGTTGTAAACCTAAACTATGGTGGTGGTCATACAGCTTTATAAATTTACCAAATATCATTGTCTTGTATACTTACAATGGGTGAATTTTATGGTATATGTAAGTGATATCTCAGTAAAATTGTTTTTAAAGAAGTATCCAGACGTGGTGGCTCACGCCTGTAATCCCAGCACTTTGAAAGGCCAAGGCAGAAGGATCACTTGAGCCCAGGAGTCTGAGACCTGCCTGGGCAACATGGTGAAACCTTGTTTCTACAAAAAATACAAAAATTAGCCGGGCATGGTGGCAGGTGCCTGTAGTTGCAGTTGCTCAGGACACTGAGGTGGGAGAATCACCTGAGCCTGGGAGGTCGAAGCTGCAGTAAGCCATGATCGCACCACTGCACTCCAGCTTGGGTGACAGAGTGAGACCCTGCCCCCAAAATAAAAAAAATAAATAAATAAAGAGGTAGGACTTCTAGGTAGCTGAAGACAACAGCAGTCGCCTATGTTCTATCTCCCAATACTACTTTTATAAACAATACAGAACATTATACAAGGAAAAATGAAAGTACATGACAGTCATGTTCTTAGCATAACTTGAAGACAGAGAATGTTCAAACTTGAAAATAACTGTAAATAAAATGGAAAAAACAGCAAATGCTAATGCATGATCTCCCTAGCGCCTGATATTCTGGTACATTGAAGCATGAACTACAAGGAAGATGCTATAAAGTACCATGCAATCTGAAGAGGCAGTTTTCAAAAAGGATAGCTTCTCAGGGAAAAGGCAGAAAGAGAGGGGCACTTTTGGCATTTGGGTGTGAAGGAAGAAAGAAGCATAAGGTGGAAAATACCAGGCAAGAGAAAGCCAAAAAATGAGAGGTCATACAATCCCATCAAGAATTTGCGGGCTGGGCGTGGTGGCTCATGCCTGTAATCCTAGCACTTTGGGAGGCCGAGGCAGGTGGATCACCTGAGGTCAGGAGTTTGAGACCAGTCTGGCCAACATGGTGGAACTCTGTCTCTACTAAAAATACAAATAAATAAATAAATTAGCAGGGCACAGTGGTGGGCACCTGTAATCCCAGCTACTATGGAGGGTGAAGCAAGAGAGTCGTGTGAACCAGGGAGGTGGGGGGTTGCAGTGAGCTGAGGTCGTGCCATTGCACTCCATCCAGCCTGGGCAACTAGAGCAAAACTCTGTCTCAAAAAAAAAAAAGATTTTGTGGAGAGTTTAATTAGCGCCTCTTTGGCTTTCTCATTTCCAGGATCTCCCTGTTGAATTTTTGGCTAGTTTGCCATTCAGTCACTTGCCCTAATCAGACGAGCAGAACTGGCATTTCCTATCAAGTTTGTCACTTTTACTGACAATAGTTTGCTACTTTTATTAGACAATGCTGCTAGGTAGAGTTTTTCCACCCTCAGCTCCAAATCAAGTCAGCTGTTGGTTTTTAAAGCCAGCCCTACCCTGGTAGAACTAGTCTGGGGACGGGCAGGATGATGGAAGCAGCTTCAGGCAAGAAAATAAAAGACTTCTACTTTATTACTAGAAGTTCAGCAATTTTTCATGAATAAATGCTTATCAATTTGTTGTTTGCCTTTGTTTGATTTCCAACGCCCAGAAATGATGGTTTTTGTCTAGTTTTATATTAGTTTCTTGGGGAGAGGATTTGCCGATATCCAAATAAACTCTTTCATACTTGGAAATCCTCCCCCCCTTTATTTGCTGTTAATGTGTATAGTTTGAGGCATTTTTCTTGAGGGTATTGTAGGTGGGTATATATAATTGATATATACATATTTTTTTAAATTTGGCCTCTTTATAATTACTGAAAATAGTCAGGATCCTCAAAAGCAGGAATGTTATGCATAAACCAGGGACCAAATCTGACCCACTGCCTATTTTTATAAATAACGTTTTATTGTAACACCCCCATTCCGATTCATTTATATATTGTCTGTAGCCACTTTTTTACTGTAACAGCAGGATTGAGTAGTTGCAAAAGTTTGTGTGACCTGCAAAGCCTAAAATATTTGCTGTCTGGCCCTTTACACAAAAAGCTTGCTGACCCTTGCTTGAGAGAATCATTATCATCATAATTAATATTATCATTATCACTGTAAATAACATTATTACTTTTTAAAAAAATTTCATATTCTTTATCTTTTCAATAACCCCACGTAGCAAACTAGACAGATATCAGATATTTAAACTATCATTTATCAGATTTCAAAAACTAATGGTAAACTTGCATTAAAGAAATATTATATAAATTATAATTCAAACTACATATTCTAAAAGTTAATATTTATTAAAGGCAGTCCAACAATCCTAGAATTTAACAGCAGAATGCAGACAATATTTTATAGTAATTTCATTTTGGCGTAGAATAACATTTATTGTAGCAATATTATTTTTACGTTCACTTCTGCCATTCATTATGCCTGCTCTGAATAACCAAACTCCTGCAAAGTCTGAGCCATGAGAAATGCAAATTTTTCTCCTTCACATTTTGAAATATTCTTGCTTTGCTATTAGTTCGCATTTGAACAGGTAATACTAAATACTTTATGGAGCAGTTTCGTCAGTCAACATTTCTTACCTGTTAGAAGAGCCATTCAGTATTCTTTGTTGTACAATATGTCTGTGGGTTGGGCCAGAGGGAGGGAGGTTATCTGGACATGAGTCTTCCCCTTGAGGTGCTAAAGACAGGCCAATAAAAGCTTCATTTAGCATATCCCCTCTGTCCAAGGGCCCCAGGAATTCTGTTAAAAATGATTAATATATGAGTGAAATACTAAGTACAATTTCTGCTAACTCCCTCATAAGTAAGATTACAGAACAACTTGCACATATCCCAGTGGAACTTTTTTCTTTATTTTGTCAATTTGAAAATCTTGTTGTCCTAGTTCCCTATGACTTCTGTCATTCTTATACTTACTTCGGCAGTTTGATAACAGAATAGTGAGTGATTTCAAATATTGATTTTTAAAAATTCATTTATATCTTTCTTATATATAGTGTTTTTAACCAGCTTATTATTTATCTATTTTTTGTTTTTGTTAGCCAATTACTGGAATATTTTATCTTGGAATATTGCAAGAAATGATTTTACTCTTTCACGTATAGCACGTAATTTGAAAAGAAAAGGAAAATATCTTACCTAATATTTGCTTTAATTAGCATTTTAAACGTATAGGGAGATATATACCCCCATATCTTAGAGATGTACAGAGGTGTATAGAGAGATATTGGCAACTTTGACAGGACATTGTTTAAAAATATTGTTTGAAACATAACGAAGCTGTGAAAAATACATTTTTTGTAAGAAACATAAACCTTATTAAAAACCAAAAAATAAAAAAAAAACCTCTTAGGACCACCGTGTATGGCAAAACATAATTTTTACCATCTTAAACATCTTAAAGCATACAGTTCAATAGTGTTAAGTATATTCACATTGTTGTGAAGCAAATCTCCAGAACTTTTTTGTCTTGAAAAACTGAAACTGCACCCATTGTAGAATTCCTCATTTGCCCCTCTCCCAGTTTGATAACCAACATTTTATTTTCTGTTTATATGAATTTGATAACTTTAGATCTTGTAAAAGTGGTATCATACAGTATTTGTGTTTTTGTCACTGGCTTATTTCACTTAGCATAATGTCCTTAAGGTTTATCCGTGTTGTAGTATGTGACAAGATTTCTTCCTTTTTAAGACTGAGTAGTAAGCTATTGTATGTATATACCATGCTTTGTTTTTCCATTTTCTATTTATTGACATTTGGGTTGCTTCCACCTCCTGGCTATTGTGAATAATGCTGCTATGAACATGGATGTGCAGATATCTCCAAAACCCTGCTATCAGTGCTTTTGGACATATACTCAGAAGGGGGATTGCCATATCATACAGTGAATCTATTTTTAAATCTTTGAGGAAACACCATACTGTTTTCATTGTGGTTCACCATTTTACAATCCTACCAACAGTGCACAAAAATTCTAATTTCTCCAAATCCTTGACAAACTTGTTATTTTCTGTTTTTTGTTTTTTTTTTAAACTAGTCATCCTAATGAATGTGACGTGCTACCTTATAGTTTTGATTTGCATTTCTCTAATAAGTGATACTGAGCATCTTTTTATATGCTTGTTGGTCATTTGTATACCTTCATTGAAGAAATGTAGATTCAAGTCACTTGTCCTTGTTTTCTTTGAGACAGAGTCTCACTCTGTTGCCCAGGCTGGAGTGCAGTATCACAATCATGGCTCACTAAAGTCTTGACCTCTCAGGCTCAAGTGATCCTCCCACCTCAGCCCTTTGAGTAGCTGGAACTACAGGTGTGTGCCACAATGCACATTTAAAAAAAAACCATTATTGTAGAGAGGGGCCTTCACTAGGTTGCCTAGGCTGGTCTTGAACTCCTGGGCTCAGGCAATCTTCCTGCTTCCTGTGGTGGCTTGTGCCTATAATCCTGCCTCTCAAAGTGCTAGGATTACAGGCATGAGCCATGGCACCCAGCCCCCTTGCCCATTTTTAATTAGGTTGTTTTTGTTCTTAAGTTGTAGGAACTTGTATGTAGTCTAGATATTAACGATTTGTCAGATTTGCAAATATTTTCTCCCATTCCTCAGGCTGTCTGTTCACTTTATTGGTACTTTAATGTGTCCTTTAATGCATAAAAGTTTTTGAGTTGGATTAAACCCCATTTGTAGTCCCATTTGTCTATTTTGCTTTTGTTGCTTTTACTTTTGTTGTCACACACAAGAAATCATTGTCATATCCAATATCATGAAGCTTTTCTCTAATGTTTTCTTCTAGTAGTTTTATACTTCTGTTTCTTATGTTTAGGTCTTTAATTCATTTTGAGTTAATTTCTGTTTATGGTGTAACAAAAGGGTCCAACTTGCTCTTTTGCATGGGGATATTCAGTTTCCCAGCAACGTTTGTTGAAGAGATAGTTCCTGTTGCGTGAATGGTGTTGACATCTGTCAAAAATTGTTTGACCATATGGTTAATGGTTTATATCTGGGCTCTCAATTCTGTTCATTTTTGTTGGTCTGTATGTCTGCGTTTATGCCAGTCCTAATGTTTAGATTACTGTAGCCTTGTAATATGTTTTGAAATCAGAAAGACCTCTTTTTCCTTTTTCAAGATTGTTCTGGCTATTCAGCATCCCTTGTGATTCCATATGAACTTTTAAATGGATTTTTCTATATTTCCAAAGATGCCATTGGGATTTTGATAGGGATTGCACTGAATTGGTAGATTACCTTGGGCAATACTGACATTTTAACAGTATTGGATGTCTTTCAATTTATTTGTGTCTTTAATACCTATCAGCAGTGTTTTCTAGTTTTAAGTCTTTTACCTCCTTGGTTAGGTTTATTCCAAAGTATTTTATTCTTTTTGATGCTATTGTAAATGAAATTGTTTTCTTACTGTCCTTTGCAGATTGCTCATTTTTAGTGTACAGAAATGCAATGGATTTTTGTATGTTGACTTGTATCTTGCAACTTTGCTGAATTCAATTATTCTAAAGTTTTTAAATGCGATCTTTAGGGCTTTCTGCATAGGAGATTAAGACATCTGTAACCAGAGACAATTTCACTTCCTTTCTGATTTTGGTGCCTTTTATTTCACTTGCATAATGCTTTGACTAGGACATTCCAGTACTATGTTAAATAGAAGGGGTGCAGGCATCTTTGTCTTGTTCTTGATCCTAGAGTAAGGGCTTTCCGTTTTCACCATTGAGATTGATGTTAGCTGTGGTCTTTTCATGTATAGCCTTCATTATGTTGCGGTATTAATAGTTTCCTTACATCCTAGTTTGTTGAGCATTTTTAGCATGAAAGAACATCAAATTTTGTCAAACGCTATTTTTGTGTGTATCAATTGAGATGATTATGTAGTTCTCATCTTTCATTCTGTTAATGTGATTAAAATGATTTTTTTATGTTGAACTATCCTTACTTTACATCAATAAATTTTACTTGATCATGGTATGTTATCTTTTTACTATGCCTAAGAATTTGGTTGGCTAGTATTTTGTTAATGACTTTTGCTCCAATATCTATCAAGAATGTTGGTCTGTAGTTTTCTTTGTCTTCATCTGGCTTTATTATTAGGGTAATGCTGGCCTTATATAATGAATTTGGGATTTTCCCTTCTTTTAATTTTTTTGGAAGAGTTTGAGGAGAACAGGTGTTCATTCTTCTTTAAATATTTGCTGAAATATTCTAATGAAGGCATGAGGTCTTGGTCTTTTCTTTGTGTGGACTGTTGGTTACTGATGCAATCTCTTTAATAGTTGTAAGTCTGTCCAGATTATGTAATTCTTCATTATCCAATCTTGGTTGGCTGTGTGTTTAAAAGATTTTGTCCATTTATGTAAGTTTTCCAGTTTGTTGGCATACGACTGTTTGTATATCTCTTACAACCCTCTTTATTTTATGTTGTACTGGCTTTAATATCCCCTCTTTCACTCTTGATTTTAGTTATTTGAGTCTTCTCTTTTTTTAAATTAGTATGCCTAATAATTGGTCAGTTTTGTAGATACTTTGGAAAGATCACCTTAAGTTTTGTTGATGATTTTTTTCTATTGCTTTTGTATTCTCTATTTCATTGATCTTTGCTCTAAACTTTATTATTTTCTTCTGTTAGCTTTGGGTTTAGTTTCTTTTTCTTTTTTTCATTTTTTAAGGTACAAAGTTAGGTTGTTAGTTTTCAATCTGTCTTCTTTTTTAATGTAAACATAGCCATAAACTTCTCTATTAGTACTGTTTTCACTGCATCTCACAAGTTTGGGCACTCATATGGCTTGAATGTTCCCTCCAAATCTCATGTTGAGATGTAATACCCAGTGTAGGAGGTGGGACTTTGTATTAGGCTGTTCTTGCATCACTATAAAGAAATACCACACAACCTGAGCAACATGTCAAAACCGCATTTCTACAGAAAGTACAAAAATTACCTAGGCATGGTAGCTCATGCCTATTATTGCAGTTACTCAGGAATTTGAGGCTAGAGAATCGCTTGACCAAGGAAATGGAGGTTGCAGTGAGCTGAGACTGCACCACTGCACTCCAGCCTGGGTGACAGAGTGAGGCCCTGTCTCGGGGGGGGGAAAAAAAAAAAGAAATATCAGAGACTGGGTAATTTATAAAGAAAAGAGGTTTAATTGACTAATTGTTCTGCAGGCTGTACATGCATGGTGCTGGCAACTGCTCAGCTTCTGGGGAGGACTCAGGGTGCTTTTCCTCATGGAGGAAGGTGAAATGGAAGGTGACTGGATCATGGGAGCAGATTTCTCATGAATGGTTTAGCACCATCCCCTTGGTGCTGTCTTTGCAGTAGTGAGTTCTCATGAGGTCTGGCTATTTAAAAGTGTGTGGCACCTTCCCCTTCTCTTTCTCCTTCTCAAGCCTTCCCTTGCTCTTCCCATTTCACCTTCTGCCATGAGGAAAAGCTCCCTGAGGCCTCCTCAGAAGCTGAGTAGATGCCAGCACTGTGCTTGTAGAGCCTGCAGAACTGTCAATAAAACTTCTTTTCTTTAAAAATTACCCAGTCTTGAGTATTCCTTTATAGCGATCCAAGAATGGCCTAACACAGGAACACTGTGTTTTCATTTTCATTTGTCTCAAGAGGTTTTCTAATTTCCCTTGTGATTTCTTCTTTGACCTGTTGTTTAAGAGTGCATTGCTTAATTTTCATGTATTTGTGGATTTTCCAGTTTTCCTTCTGTTGTTGATGTCTAGTGTCATTTCA